TCCTACCATTTTGGGGACGAGATCGAGTTGGGAGTTGAGAATAACTACACAAGATGGAATTCACTCTTTCCCAACTTTAAGGTAATTAGATGAGTGTTCTCTTAAGTGTTGACTCCAAGACTTAAACAAGGGGCCTCACCCTCTCACTGACCCAAGAGGAACTTCTATTTAATGGTAGATCACAAACAGGTTGGTCATTAGAGAATCAGTGGTACTTAAGGTGAAAGAGGTAACTCAGGAGTAAAACGATAATTTGACCTAATTGAAGTTACGAACACTCGTGAAGGATTGACTTTGAAGGGATCGAATCCTGCAGAGGAAGCGCGTGAACGCGTGTCCTTCGATTTTGTTTTGGAAATACAACAAAGAAAAGACATAAGCATGATTAAAAGGAAGTTAGTGAAACATACCTTTGAAGACACTAGCTTCTTCAATGTAGACACCAACGCCACAAAAAGACCTTCCTCGCTATCCTCAAAATGTTAAGAACTCGGTTTTTGGGAACCATCTTATAATTGAGAGGGAAATCGAGAGATTGAGAGAGAGATTTTCTTGTTGGAGTTTTGGAAACTCAATCAACTGGCGACTAGGGGAAAGTGGGAGGTTTTTCCTCCCATTTTTCCTTTTGTTTTTTGTTTTTGTTTTATTTTATTTTAATTTAATTAAAACAATTTTAATTAAATTAATAATTAATTAAATCTAATTTGATTAATTAAAAAAGAATTATTAATCAAATTAAATTAAATCTAATTTAATTTAACCAAATTAACATATCCCATTAATTAATTTAATTTAATTAAATCATATTAAATTAAATTAAACTTAAATTAATCAACCATATTAGAATCAAATTCTAATATCCGTCTCTCTCATAATTTTGAATCAAATTCAAAATTGACTTTATATTATAATGTATCAACATAAATTATGTTAATTGCATCTCATACAATTAACTTTCAATTAACTTTGATTCCCATTAACAAATTTGAACAATTCAAATTATTTTCAAGACTAAATGTTCTTAACCATCTTTTACGAGCTAGCAAGGTAACCTAAACGACCTACAGATCAGAAGCTCCAACGATACGAGATTAATTGATTAAACTCATTAACCATATTAATCAACATTCGTTAACTGTCAGTCACTCCACTAAAGACCCACAGCTGCACTCTTCTAATTGTAGAATATTTTACGTCCACAGATTTTGACCATTAACGGTAAGTCAATCCTTCACGAGTGTTTGTAACCACAGTTGGGTCAAATTACCATTTTACCCATGTGTTACATCTTGGACCTTAAGTACCGCTGATCCTCTAATGAACAACCTGATTATGGTCCGACCAATAACCGGAAGTTCCTCTCGGACTAGTGAGAGGGTGGAGCCCCTTGTTCATGTCTCAGAGTTAGTACTTAAGAGAACACTCATCTACTTACCTTAAAGTCGGGAAGGAGTGAATTTCATCTTGTGTAGTTACGTTCCCAGCTCCTCACTCGGTCTCGTCCCCAAAATGGTAGGAATATTGAGTCGGCGGCTCGGGCCACTCTCACCCATTCAAATCAAAGGACGAGCCCTAATAGGTAGGAGTTCATAACTCACTCATGATTGAGATCGAGTTACCTGGTCATCCAATTGAAATATTAATCTATTAGCTAACGGTGTTACATCTAAAGATTAATTATTTCGCAGTTCGATCTTATAGAAACTCATTGTAAAGGATACCCCCACTCCCATGTCTCAACACGAACGACCTGTATCAAGTTGTTTGTAACTATTACAAAGTGAGCTGTATCCATAGTGTTACCAGGATAAGGTACCCAATCTTACCCATATACTATAGACCCTTTAGGTTATTACTGGAACATTATCTACCTGTATATCGAATGTATACTGTATATATATACATTGTATATCAAATATATACGTCATATATTAAATATATACTGTATATCTGTTATATACTGTTCCACTTACATGACATAACCTTGGATGTTAGTTTATTGGATTTGGGTTAATGCATTTTTAAGAGAAACATCAATAACTATTTTATTGAATAAATATTTGTTTTATATTTACAAACCACAAGTTTAGGGCATAAAACCCAACAAACCTATCATTAATAGTTAATATCCATAGAGCAAAATATTTTACAGTACTAAGAGTGCAACTGTGGGTCTTCAATGGAGTGACCCACAGTTAATGAATGTTGGTTATTTTTGTTAATGAGTTTAATCACTCAATCTCGTATTGTTGAAGCTTCTAATTTGTAGGTCCATTAGATCCCCCGCTAACTCACAACGGGTAAAACAAAGATCAAATTTGAGGGATTCAACTTATTTAAGGGAATGTAGGTTAATTGTATAAGATACAATTAATATAATGTATATAGATACGTTATAATATAAAGTTAATTATGAATGACATTCATAATTAAATTATATATTAGAAAGTTATATTTGAATAAGATTCCAATAGTTATTAATGGTGGTGGGAAGGTTGCTTCCTCCCTAGTCCTCTCACTCTCTATAAATTGAGAGGTGTGTGATTGTTCAAAGGTTGGACAATCTCTCTCAAAAAGCTCTCTCTCGAAAGCTCCACTTTCAAAAGACGTTTCCCATGAACCGACCATTGTGAAGAGAATAGTGGGGAGGACTTTTTAGTAGCGTTGGTGCGCTCGTTGAAGAATGGTCTTCAAATGTATGTTTCTCTAGTTTTGTTTTTATAATGCTTATGTCTTTTTTTTGTTGTATTTCTAAAGCAAAATCGAAGCACAAGCGTTCACATGCTTCCGTTGCAGGATTCGATCCCTTCACTAAATACTACACTTCTCTAACAAGTATTGATTTAGACATCATAGTGTTTACCTCTGTTTTGCACATGACTTACAGTGGGGATTAACCTTACTACTTGGACTGACATTTTTGTTCACGAACAGGTGGTTTTTATTATTGTAGTTTTGTTTGAAAAATTTTCATTATTTTAAGGTAGGTTTTACTTTTACTTAATATATTTCCACTTCTCATTCTTAGTTTGCTGGCCTCCTCAATTTCTCTTCTTCAAATATTCAACTCTTCTTCTACGTTCTCTTTCTTTTCCTCCCTTCCTACTGTCACTCCTTCCACAATTGCTTCCACTTAAACTGTTATCCCACCCGCTGTCGCTTCCACTTCTGCCACAGACTCTCCCACTGTTGCTTCCACTTTTACCACTGCCTCCATCAACACTTGTATCATTGATGCTGCCGCTTCTCAAGTACGTCAGTAAGAAAAGAAGCAAATGCAAAGTAGATATAAAATTGCAAAATTGAACCGAACCATACTGTCAGTTTCGGTTCAATTCATAGAAGCAACTCAATTTAGTACGGTTTTTATTTTTTTAAAATTTCGGTTTCAGTTTTAATGGAATTCTAAAATCGAACCGAACCAAACCGTGATTGATAACTCTTGGTCTCAAGAGTTACATGACCCTATTTTAGCTTATTACTTGCACATTTGAAAGAATTTTTCAATTAAATAATAAAAGAATTATTGAAAATATGCACATATTTACTCTAGATGATAGATGTGGCTTAAAATTCATTTAGGATATTGAGTTAGTTATTTCTGAGCATTTTTAGAAGAATTTGTGCAAATTGCTCAACGTTGCTTGTTGTCTCCTTTGTTTTTTTCTTCCTCCAGATGTAGAACAAAAAAGAGAGAGTTATTCCTTAGTTTCACATATGAGCAACGTCAAGCTGGCTATGACAAGTGGTGGGCAACATCGAACGACAACAACAATAGCGACATCTACGGAGATGGGGGAGTGGGGGAGAAAGAAGGTTTTCTATTTGGGAAATTGGGATTCTCCACCCCTTCCATTTTAATTTTTGACCCTGACAATCTTTTGCCGTTGTAAAATTATCAAAATATCTCTGTTTAAAAAAAATTCTACGAATCTCTCGCCTTAAACTTCACACCCTCTTTTTAGTTTGAAGAATAATTACGAATCTAACATGCAAAAAGTCTCCAACTTTAAATTTGAACAATCAATTACGAATTTAATATAGAAAAAATATCGAATCAATATGGACAAATTCTAAAGAAATGATGGAAGTACACAATCTTAGAGGGTGGAGGAATCGATTAATATGGAAAATTGAATTCGCCTAAAATATGTATTGAAATTGCTTGAAATTCCAACATTTATGCAATCTCAATTTAATTTAAAAAAGATTGCATGAATCCTAGGTCAAGATTTACGCAATTTCCAAATTGCATGAATCCGGAGATTATGCAATTTCAACTTAGAGATTTTGCTTCCTCCCGAACACCATCCATGGCTTCCCTCCTCCCTCTCTCTCTACAATATGTTGAAAGTCAATGGTACAATCTCGATTTCTTGTGAAATCTAAAACGACCGCCACTGCCCAATTGAACGACTGCCATGAATGAAACCATTAGCTAGCTACCCCACAAAATCTCTTTGAGTTTCCATCAGAGCCCCGAAATTTATTTTCTTTTTTTTTTTTTCCTTTCTTTTTTGTATTTCACAGGGTATTTCAGAGGGGTCTGAGAGAGAGTCGGAGATGGGGGAGGGAGACTGAGAAGATTGCGGAGAATTTAAATTTTTTTTTTTGAAAAAACATGAATATTTTGATAATTTCACGTGGACAAAAAGTTGGAAGGGTAAAAAATTAGAACGAAATGGATCACGAGTAAGAGTTTTTTTTAGGAGGGGTAAAAAATAAAAATTGAATTTAAAAAGGATTAGAAATCCTTTTTCAGTAGAATATATAAAATGGAACAATTCAAACTTTCAATCTCACAATTGGATACGTGAAAGTATTCTGTAGCTGACATTTCATTCAAGTAAACTGGATTTTAAAGCAAAGCATTTTGTAAACAATAGGATTCCAAGGTAGACGATTTTTATTTATTTATTTTTATTATTTTTATTTGAGAAAATAGTCTACGTCCATTACATTTCCCTAGTTCCAATCTTGTCTTATGTCGCTGAGCTGCAGCCTACACTGCAGGTGAGCTTAGCATTTCTCCTCAACCTCTGATCCCGTCCCGTACACCACAACAAACGCCGTCCCCTCACGGCCTTCCTGCATGAACCAGAGGCAGAGCCCCAATGCAGGCGCATTTCTTATTGGGGCCAATCCCCATCACCATCGCCGCCGCCTCCTCCTCCGCCATCGGCTTCTACTCCTCCCTCATCGCCGATTCCCTTCGCCGGACTCACTCCTCCAACCCCAATCCCAAATCGATTAACCCTCTCCCTCGCTCCTGTTCCGTCGTCAGTTCTTGGTCCCCGTCGTCGTCCGCGGCCATTGACGGCGACCCCAACCATTACCAGGTACTCGGTGTCGCGCGTGCTGCCACCTCCACCGAGATCAAGAAAGCTTTTCGTCTGCTCGCTCGTAAGGTACCTCTAAATTCCCCCACGCTCTTAAATTTTGCTTGGTTCTTAATGTTAACTCTTGAATTTCCTTGGTATTTTTTTAGGGCTCTTGCGCTAAATGACTTTATCGACATGTGTATTTGATTAGATGCTCTGGGTCATGCCTTTAAATAGCATTCTCTTTAAGCATTTTCTCAAGACTGGTGATGCATTATGTAAATCATTTCATGATTTTGAAATCAAAGGGAACACCATTCTAGATTGGGTTCGTAAATCGCTTCTCGGGCTATCTCAGACACCCTTCCCCGATCCGGAAAACTAATAGAAAACCATATATGTTAATTTGTTTGCTCTATTTTTTTTAATTGTTATTTTTATGAAATTCCCAGATTAGATGAGAATGGTGACCCTCTAGGAAACGTGTGTCGAATCAATTTGGTATGATTGAAAAACTTATTTGTGCTTTGTGATTTGATGTAATTTGTTAAATTTAGATTTTCCTGATACATTATGGAACTTGTACCTACACATGCTATGCTCTCTGCTGGTTGTCTTCTCCTTTATCAACTGTCAAGGACAAACAATTAGTATTCAAGAAAAATGAAATTCAGAACTCAAAAAGAAAAAAACAAGTCAAAGAAACTTGACCAATGTCCTATGATTAAAGGTTTCTTTTAACTTTTTGAAATCAATTGACTTTGACATTTTTAAATTCTTGGTGACTCCATCTTTCCTTGTGTTTATTGTTGGGCTAGATTTGGAATGAGTATATATACCCTTAAAGAAAATTCCTAGAAACTCCGGCATGTGGGTCGTCCAAAATTTATTTTTCAGTTTTTTTCTAATTTTAATTATATAAATCCATCATATCCACATGTGCCCTATTTAGAGAGAATTTTTTTTCTTATACGCAATATCAATCCAAACAACACTGTTGAAATACTTAAAGCCTCTTTCTTAGGCAGCAACCAAGCCCAACAACAATAAAGCATTACGGTAAAACGTACCTTAGCATTAGGCACTTCCACCTTCCACAACCTTGCTTGAGAAGAATGACAAGCATGTCAAGGAAGCTCATGAGCATTTTTTTTGGAAAAGAAACAATTTCATTGATGTATGAAATTACAAAAGCCTCAAAGGAGGACAAGCTCATGTTCATGAAAGCCCTATACCGTTAAAGTTTCATCTAGAATTGAAGTTCAAGGTCCCGAGAGATGAAAAGAAAACAAGAAAAATAATAGCTTCTGCTGTTAACTAAACCTATGACAACTTTCTAAAATGTTTATGAAGTACGCCAAAAAATTTAGCCATTTCAACTATATTTCCCAGTTCTTTTCCTTATTACAAAAAATTCGTTTTTTTTTTCCGGACAAAGTTCCGATAGTATAGCTTTAGAAAGGTTTTTTACGCAAGCAATCTTCACCTGTTGAAAATTGTTTTTATTGAGTTGTTAAAGACCCAATATTCAGGAGGTCCAAAATAGAATGCCAACGCATCGCTCTAAACTCTCGGAAACAAAATAAACCTTAATCCTTTGAAATTTTCTGTGTCTTACACAAAATGCACTAATTTGGAGATAAAGCACATTTTGGGCACTTTCTCTTGGCAAGAAGTTTGTATTAAGGGCTTCAAAACACAGGCCCACTGGCTATTAGTTATTAGTTTTGGCACTTTGCTTAGGCTCATGGTGGCTATAAGTGTTGAACCTTTTGGCAAAGGATCATTTTTGAGCAAGTATGGTGGAAGTCTATTGTTTTGGTGTCTATGAAATTTTCTATTCTTTGTTGGGATGGTTCTTCAATTTGTTTTGGGGGGGACTGTTGACTGGGGGATTTGTTACCTTTTCCCATGTATCTATAATTCGTCCTTGTCTAAGCTTGCTTCTGTGGCTTCTATTCTTATTCATTTTGAGGATTCCTTATCATATAATTTTGGTTGCGGTCCTCATTTATTTTGATTGTGAATTTTTGGATGTTTCTATGTTGGCAAACTTCTGTCCTCCGATAAGGGTCAAGGACGTTCATTTCTGGTCTCCTAATCTCTCTCTCGAGTTTTTGTACAGCGTGTTATTTTCTCTCTCGGGTGGGTCCCACCTTCCTTCTTCCCCTTTATTTTTCCAGCTTTGGAAAGTGCATATTCTGAAGAAGGTCAAATTATTCGCCTAGCATAGTAGGATTAACACGATTTGACTGTATTAAGAGATCATCTTCTATCCTTCTAGGATCTTAGTGGTGTAGCATGTTTAAGGACTAAGAAAGTTTGAAACATGTTTTGTGGATTGTTAATTTTTTTTGATAGAGTGGGGTTGTCAGTTTGTTGAGGCAATTTGGGGCAGATTTTTGGAGGTTTTGGTGTCTAGACGCCTTGTAATAGATCGTGCAGTATATGAATTGTCTCTATTCGAAAAAAGAAAAAGAACTACAAGATCAGAGCTTTCCTGACCAAAAGAATGACTCTACGCTATATATACATACTTATTATTATTTTTTTTAAAATAAGAAACCATGCTTTTCTTGAGAAAAAATGAAAAAAATACAAGGGCATACAAAGAAACATCCTGGAGCAAAACTAAATAAAGGAGCTCCAATTAAGCACATTCAAACCTAAGGGATAATTACAAAAGTCCTTAAGCATCGAAGCCCAAAGGGAAACATCGAAATCTAAGAAGGAACCAAATCGCTTCCCTACATCTGTCAATCCCTCTAAAGATTCTATTATTTCTCCAACCCTTAATGCCCCAAATGAAAGCATAAGAACAAACCAACCACAAGAAACGACTGTTATAACAAAAAGCCAAGTGGAGAATGACCTCCTCCGCTAGCTAACTACAACCTCTAGGCTAGGCCAAACTATAACCAAACAACTTAACGAAGCAGATCACATAAGCATAATCACAATTCCACAAAAGGTGATCTAAGTCCTTTGGTGCTTTCCTGCAGAGAATACAACATTGCAGCCCTATCAGCTCAGAGTACTGCCTATAATGTGATCCACCAATAAGGACCTGCCACGCAAAAAAGTTTGATCTTCTTGGGGATTTTGACCTTCCACAGCAAGGAGAAGACAGGGTTACTGGAGGGAGAGAGATTGGCTAGATAATGGAAAAATGATCTACAAGAGAACCCATCAGAAGGATTATGCACCACATAAATCTCTTCAGCTTTAGAAAATTGAAAAAAGTCCCCAATCAAAGAAATAAGGGCCACAATATCCGTATGTACTCACCCCACGTTATAACTATTTCATGGGTGCTTATAACATTCTTCACACATCATCTCTCTCTCCTCTCATCCTCTTTCTACAATGTACGTTTATTACTGGGCCATCATAGTGATACAATGAGGTCTTATACCATCCTCCCTTTCTAAATGCCTCTTTGGCTTGCTACTTTCTTTGCGCTCTTATGGAATACCTGCCTTCAGAGAAATATGAGGTCTTTAAACTTTAAAGATGTGGAGAGCTCTTGTGGTGTAGCCTAAAGATCTGTTGTGGCTCTTTGGCTGGCTACTGTCTTTGTTTTTGGCTCCTTTTGTCCCAGGCTTCCTTTTTTTGTATGGCTTGTCTATACTTTTATTTCTTTTGAATGAAAGTTGGTTTCTTCATTAAAAAAGAAAAAAAAATGAGGTGTTGAATTTTGTTTCACATGATCACACATCCCAATAAGAGGAGATTTGATGCATGTCCAATGACAAATAACAATTGTCACACTTTCAAATATGAAATATACGTTGTCCCAAACGTATAAAAAAGGAAAATGAAATAAACTAATCTTGCATAGAGAAAATATGAAATAATACACAAGAACAAAATACAAAAATAAAGTCAATCTACCTCAAAAAGGGCCAAACCCAAACAAAAAAAAAAAA